CATTTCACCAATTTCTCCAGCTTTAGCCAAACGGTCCACATTTTTAGGGTAGTTCTGACTTGCGCAGAGAAATTAAACTCCTTGTTGTTTTATATAAAACCCTTAAGAATCTAAGCTGTACTTTCCAGGCTGGCCTACTGAGCCAGCCTCCTCCCCCCCTCTATGTGTCACTCTGACCATGTCCCTTTCCTGTCCATTTGGTGAACTTTCAAGTTCAAGCTTAAAACAAAAGTCTCAGCCTGTGGGTGTACAACTTTTCATCTTAGCCACTGAAAGTGACCCATTAAGAATTTAATGAAAGAATGAGATCTCTGGTGGCATTGTCCATAGGATGTTGCACTGCTAAGCCCAGGCTCCTCGAGTGTGATTTACAGCTTCAGAAAACCTGGTGGAGGATTGGTTATGAGTCTGTTCTGACTTGACAGCAATGAGTTTTGAGTTTGAATAAAAGGATTGGCTTATTCTGGGTAAGGCACTGTATGACATAGCTTACCTAGTCTTCTCTTTCTCTAGCATAAAAAAATGTTTTAAAACTTTGTGCACATTTTCTTCCTTCCCCAAAATGCACCATTTTTTTTCTAGATGGTTGTCATACATATGATGCCTAATCATATATTCCTTTCGGGCAGTTCTTCCCTTCATCTGATCTAATGCAGTGTTCATTATTCATCCACTCTTTTCCCATTCTCTCGCCCACTCCTAATGTCTGTCCTATTTTATAATAGTCCTTTTATGGCTGAGATCTTTCACTCAGCATAATGTCCTCCAGGGTCAATCATGTTGTGTGGTATTTTATATGTTTCTTATTTTTCTGTGCTGCATAATATTCCATTGTGTGAATGTACCATTAGTTTTTCTGTCCGTTTGTTGATAGGCACTTGGGTTGCTTTTGTGAATAACACACCAATATACAAGGGTGTGCTTACATCTGCTTGGGTAGTTTACCTGTAGTCTTAAAAGGCACTGAACTCTACTTTCAGGCACTAAACTCTACTTTCCTCCCAAGTTTTTCCCTGCATCTCTTCCTTGACCTCTTCCCTCTCCTCCATTTTTTCTCCTTCCCATTCTTCCCTTTCATTCTTTTCTCCATCCTTCTCACCTTTTCTTTCTGGTGTACAGCAGTGGTGGACTGTGAAGAAACATGAGATCTTGGGACAGTATCTTCCACTGAGAACCCTTCTGACCCAGCTAGCTAGTTCCAGAGGTTCTTTTCTGAGCCACTGTCCCTTGGTGCTCTGGAAGATAAAATCAGACCTTGACTGAAATGTGTTGGTCCTGAGGATGCTGGGCCAGCTGGTTCTCCATCAGGCAGGGAAAGAGCTGGCTAAGGTGAAGGAGGAGAGCTGTCTGTGTCCCTGAAAGGGCGATACATCTCTTTTATATAATCAGACTGTGGGCCACCGCAGCCTCCAAGAAGCAGCTCAAGAAAGTAGGACCAAACAGCCCCCAACAGTAGTGTATTTAAATGTGGCTTGTGGGGCACAAGGAGGATTCCCATCCTGTTCATAAAGTCCAACTCTCAGGCAGGAATCCAGATATACCAGGCTGGCTCCCCTGCTGCAATAAAGCCAAATTTCTCCCAAGATGCCTGCCTGCTGCTAAGAAACTACATGCATGCTTTGATTGTGTGCCTTTTCCCCATTTTCCTTTTTTTGTTCTTCCCTGTCCCTCACATATTTTAAAGATGTGTGGACTGCCGCCAGTTAAGCACCTAGCTCTGCCTGGAGTCTTCCTTCGATTTTATCCTTAAGGCTCCCAGAATCCCCAAGTGGAAGTGAAAATATTCCTTCTTGTGCCCTCCCCCCCACCATGATGCTTCCTAAACATGAAACTGAGAAGTGAGAACTCAAAGGCCGTTGAACCACCCTTTTTTATTATCAAAGTGTCCAACTGCTACCCATGCCAGCTGCTGCCCACAGAAACCTTTTAATACCACTCGGGACAAAGAGGCGTTCACTCAAACTCAAACTCATTGCCATTGTGTCAGAACCATTGGGTTTTCAAGGCTGTAAATTACATGGGAAGAGATTTGAATCGCTACAGAGGTTACGTCGTTTGTGTTAGCAGCACATCTCATTCCTCCTGCTTCCCACCATCCTTGTTGTGGCATTTAGAATGGCCCTGGCATGGACAGTCTTGTCCTCAGTGAGTTTTTGGTTAAGAGGAGAGTGTTCTTACATGGAAAAGTGAGTAGACGAGGTGGGAGGAGAGAAGAAAATGCATCTGCGGGTGCAGAGGGGGAAATGAGGACATTGTTATCTAGATGCTTAAAGAAAAGGCATCTTCTTGGGTTTGTCCTGAGGGTCCTATCTTAGGTTATTTTGCTCTTAAAGGCTCTCCAGTTTCGACAACACATGTCATTCCTTCACTCAGTAGAAAGAAGGGACATAGTAGGGTGGAGTGGGGCAAGACAGCAGCTATAGACTCTGCTCAGACTTAACCTTATTTTAAAGAGGTCAAAGGTGGCACTGTGTCAAACAAGACCTTGGCCTGACCATCCCAGGAATGGAGATGCCCCCAAATGACATCAGACTCCAGAAACCTCATGTCAAGGCTAGATTGCTCCAGGCCTGGAAAACTGACACAGTCTATTTGGGCTCTTTGGCCAGTTGTGTTAACCAGTCCAAGGAGATTATGATTGCCAACTTCTGAGGCCAAATTGTGTGGCAGATAGCAAATCCAGTTCCACACACCAACTGTATCCTGTGGGAAACTCAACTTCTCTTTCCTATTGAAAGACTTCCCTATTTCAGACTTAGTTGCTCACGAGACCTTTCTCTCTTTCATCTCTAATCATCCAGGGTTAGGTCAGCAGCTGCAGGCAAAGCTGTAAGCTTGGGTGTCCACATGATTCCCTTCACCTCGGACCAGCTGCCCACACTACTCCTTTGGGTCCAGAAATTCACTGGACTGACTCATAGACTTCATGAAAAGGATACCATACTTGTTCAACCAGGATGGTCCTTAGAGGCAAACATTGGGCATGTTGTGAGGTCCAGTTCTTGGGGAAAAAAAACCCATCTTGCTGCAAAAGGTAGAGGGTTAGTGAAAGACATGAAAACCTTCAACAAGATGTATAGACACAGTGCCTGCGACAATGGGCGTGAACATGGCAGAGATCATGAGGATGGCACGAGGTAGGGCAAGGCTCAGATCTGTTGTTCAGAGGGTCACTGAGTTGTATTCCACTGGATAGCATCCAAAACCAACATATTGTATTTACTACCGATTCATTAATTTTGTTTTAAAAAAAGATACATACAAAGAGATACAGTGGGTGACGAGGCCTAGGAGGGTCATAGCATAGGGCTTCCATATCCCAAGGAGGGACATGGTTCCATCTCTCACTCATGGCCAGGAAGCTACGCAAATCTCCATGTCCAGGACTCTTGTCAGCCTCTCATGTGGCCAGGATGGATGATAGCCATCATGATTCCTCATGAGGCTGAGTCAGCATTGGACCCCCAAGTGGTCCCTGTTGAGTGTGGCCAACTCCCATTCCTGAACCTTCAGTGATGGCCCAGCTCTCAGGAACCAAGATCAAAGTCTAAATGGCTTTCTGTAAGGGAATTCCACACTTTGCACCAGCCCAACAAAGTAAAAACTGTGACTTCCCCAAATAGCACTTGAACTTTTGAGAAATGCTGGTGGTTCCCCCTGCCGCATTCCTTAACGAACTTTTATTTTATTAAGTTTAGTGAAAGTTTACAGAGACTGTATTTCCATTCATTCATTGTTGCACTTTTCTTCCTGCCCACCCCTCCCGCTCTTTCTTTGAAAAGTAAAATTCTTTCATTGTTATACAATCCCTTCCCCCAAGTCCACTCCACTGTGCAGCCTTCATTCTGGATTCCTGTCATGATAATCATACCTAATCATATATCACTTTTAAACAATTCTCTCCCTCATCTGTTTCAGTGCAGTATACATTATTAATCCCCTTTTTCATAGAACTAAGATACAACCAAATAACTGCAGTTCTCTTTTTAAGTCCTCTCCAGCCCTCAGGCCTCACCTCAGCACATTCTTATCACCAGAGCAAGTAAACTGGTATCTGCAGGCTGTGACTGCATCCTCTGCAAACAGATTCCATTTCAAAACATGCCAAACCCACCTCACACATGACTGACGTGACATCCGTTCACTCAACATTTATTGAGCTACTTGCCAAGCACTAATTTCTCAACACTGAAGATACAGCAAGGAACAAAATGCCCCAGCTCTCCAGGAGCAGGAAGATCCTAAGGTGGAGGGTGTACATAGAGAAAGGGTGACTCCTAACATGTGCCAACCATTTTTTTTAAATCCATCTCTTCCTTCCCAAAGACTACCAAAGTCAGACAACACAAAAACACAAAGGAAAAGAGATTCCTCAAAGTCATTGCAACCTGAAAACCTCCTCCTCACCCTTACCATTCATCTTCTCACCTTTTTACTTTGTTCCTCTTTGGAACACCTGGGCTGATGGAGCAGCATTAAGTGCCCCATTTCTAAGATGAAATAGACACTGGTGAACGTTGAGTCAATAGCCTTCAGATGCACACAAGCCATTTAACCTGTTTTCTTCTATTTCCCCTTAAAAAACGCTCTTAAGATCCAAACTACTTTGACTGAAAGTTAGTCTGGATGCTGTTAGCATCAATTAAAGAAGGGGAAACAAAGGCTTGAATGAGAAATGTGGAAAAAGGGAGTGATGGGTTCAAAAGACAAAACAAAAGCAGGAGCAACTGGATTCGGCAGCTGCCTGGGTACAAGGCTCAAGAGCTGGGGATTAGAGGGGGGAGAACTCTAGGATATCTCTGCACAAGGTCTCCAGCCCGGGGGACCAAGATTGTGGGGCCATCTGTTTCATGCCAATCGACTCATTAAAGGTTCAAGGGCTCTTTGCTGTTCCAAAGAGAAGCGAACTTACTGGTCCATGTTGTTTTAAATAGTAATGATGACTGGGGGAATTGCATGCTCACTGCCTCAACTGAGGGTGTTTTGTTTTTGTTTCCCAGCATTCCGGTGTCTTTCCATCTTCTCCTCCCTCTGGACTTTCTGATGAGCCCCAGTCTGCCTCGCCCTCGCCCAGCTACATGTGGTCCTCGAGTGCACCACCCCGTTACTCCCCACCCTACTACCCTCCCTTTGAAAAGCCTCCACCTTACAGCCCCTAAAGAGGAACATCTACCAGCTAGAGAGATTTATCGTGGCTTTTCTATTTCTGCTTTAGTGGAAGTGTATAGGGTACAAAACTCAAAGTGTGACTCTTACACATAAAGTTTTACAATGGCCTGCCAGGCTAGGGAAAGATAGGGGTGAAGCTTTTTATCAGGACAGAACAGGGGTGCCCAGGGCTTCCCATGACGGCAAGTCACACTGTAAGCAAAGCTGAGGAGCCAGCCCAGCAAGGTTAGCATGTTTAGACTCGCGTTAGCCCACTGGCTCCACCTCTGTAGTCGGCAGAAGTGTGGCTGCCATCTGTCCCGTTTCCTGTAATTGGAGTTTTGTCCTCAGACCCCTGGCCAATCACCATCCTAGCCCCTTGGTTGAAGCACCTAGCTTATTATATAGGCCCTATCTTTCCCTACCACTAAAGATGGTCCCTAAGGACAATTTCCCAGCTGACACGGCTATGTAGTAGTTCCAATAGAGAGAGAATTCTAGCTAAGACATGGTTTGCGTGTGCCTGGATATTGACAAAAGTTGCCTGTACTTCATCTCTGCTCTGTGAGTATTGTAAAAATGGCTGTTGTGACCACCTTAGCTCAGCTTTTGTTATTGGTACCTCCTAAAGGGAAAAGTGCAATATTCCCTCATTGTGAGTAGTGGGAAGCAGGATTGGTTATTCAGGACTGAAAGACAGAGCAACATGCAAAATGTTTTAAATGAGATCTGATCACTTAGGAGACATGTTGCATTATTACACACAAAAAAATGCACTTGCTACTGACAATAGAAATTGTATGGTTGAAATTCAGTTAAAATCCTAGATTAGGTTCTTGGGTCATGCTATGAATCGTTACTAACCTTTGTGACTATTTAATCTTCAAATCGTGTGCTTCAAACCCAGCGAACCGCACGTATCCTGCACCCCACCCCAAAAGAATAATCTGTATTTTAATACCATTGCTATTACTGGTCCCTTCCTTCTGTTGAGAGCAATCATGACAGCATTCAGTTCAAAGGTAATGAACGTGCAATGCCATTTCAAGTCTGCAAAACCTCAAATGTAGCCAACTTGATCAATTCTTAAGTGTTACCGTCGACTTAAAATCCATCTGGCACATTGTGGTCTTTGTACAGTTCTTTTAATTATACATAGCTTTAAACCACCAACCTGATTTTAAAACACTTTGGCGTCCAAGCCTTCACTTCAGAATGAATACTTTCATTGCATTCCTAAATTAGCCTGAGAATTGACAGATTTAAAAGATAATGGATAATAATCCTACACTTGCATAACATAAAGATACAGGGGCTACAAGAGGATACCTAATTAAAACAGTTCTGCAAACACAGAATGCATACTGGAAAATTTCCAGCCAATTTCGCTACCTCCCATCTTGATGGATTGGAGGCAGCAGACAAAATGCTGGTGCTCCCATCTACCTTGTAGAGACACCCAGCCATCAAAAATGGAGATATGCCAAGCGCACTCATTGTTCAGTTAAATGTTTGCGGAACATTCAGTTTAACTTTCAGCATTATGAAATGTTGTCTCATCCAGATCTCTAATCTGAAAAATTATAATCCTTTTGTGTTATACAAAATTACTATTCTTTTCTACACTTCTGAACATATTAAAATTCTACTGCATTTCAAATAGGGACTGAGAATGAATTGACTCACTATACAAATAGCAACTTATAATAATGAAATTTCTTGCCATTTACAATCTACCTTTTGCTTTAGTCAATGTGTCTATTTAATTGTTAAAAAGGCACCATTATACAGTATATCAATTTATCACATTTCTTAAAGTGTTAACACTCTTTTACTCATTTCTATGTATTTTTCTTACTTTACAAAATAACTTGAAACAGTAGATTTTGTAACACTTAATTTGAGCAGCTTCTTTTTCTATTACATTGAACTATATATAAAGTGCATGTTACCTTAGAAAAATATTTGCTGCTTTACTTTTTGCAAAACATTTGCTGTACTTAAGGAATTTGTATTTCCGATATATGTTCCTTGACTGCATTTTGTAATATTTTATTGCTTTACTTCTAATTCTGCTTTAAAGTAATGAACTGGGCATGGCACATTATTAATCCAGAATCTGTAAAACTGGATGTTGCTTAAAATCTGTATCACTGCCACATTTGAAACCCAGAATGCTTTTGTGATGTTTCAAATTAATAAAACTATTGTTCCCCTTATCCACTTATGTGTGTCCCCCATAGCATCTACAAAAGCCTAGTACACTCTCTAAAACAGTGGAAACTGGTTCACTCATTTTCAACTATAATGGACCAAGATACAATGGTTCATGATCAACAACACACTTCAAACAATTATCCTGTGCTGAGAAGCAATAGAACATAAAGGTCAATATAATTTCTGAAATTTTGCACAAAAAAAAATGCACTCACAAATGAGAATTAAATGGTTTTTATTTTTGCCACAAGAAGCTCTAAGAACTATAGCAGGTAATGGTTTATGAAATGTAGAACTTAAAAATCACAGAGGGAAGGCTGTACAAATATGAACATTACCATATTGGGGAAAATGAAGTCAAAGTTTTTCCCATAACTGACAGAGCTGAGGAAACCATTACTGTTGAATTACCATGATTCTTTAGATTATGCATGTCTTAAAAGACAAAATACATCATCAACTTGATTGTTTGAGGGGTTTTTGTAGAGTTGGGGGGAAATGCAGCATGGATCCTTAGAGTGACTAAACGTGGGAGGATCTTTGCCACCAAAATCATAATGCTCACATAATATGTATTTTAAAATTTATCTTGCCAGACTGCTACAGCCTTTTAAAGGCTAGACATAGCCTGAGCATTTTCATTTTGTCATTTAACAAATGACAACTTCAAACTCGTTCCTCTCCAGAATTTTTCCAGGTAATTTTGCTTAAGAGCCAAGTTGAAGCTCAATAGCCAGGATTCTAGAAAGAACCTTTGGATTAATTTTCAACTCTTGCTACAGATTACCAATCCAATAAATGCTGCCATGAAGGGTTTTAGCCCCAAAGGAGTCTTCCACGTGAACTTCAGACTTTGAATATGGAAATGTCTCCTTGGAAAACTAAAGACCCTGAGGCATGTGCAAGGAAGAGTCATCTGGCAAAAATACAATTTACGGTTTTTTCCATTCCCTCTCAAAAAAAAATAAAATAAAATACAGAAGATACAATTAGTAGGCAGAATTTAAACTTAATCATCAGAATTTACATACAGCACAGCAGCAGCCGACAATTATATCTGTATTATTTAGAATGAAGAGTTTTCCCTTATAGAATTATTAGTTTGTCGCTACTAAAGGCAAACTAACTTCTGGAGCAGTTAAATCGGTAAGGACTAGAAGCTCTGCTGGCATCAGATCATTCACACTTGTAACTGGTGAAAACAGCATTAATGAAATGCAAACAAATCTCCACTGAAAACATGTCAGAGTGCAATCTATAGTCAAAGCATAATGTTAGCAATAGCTACACAGAAAAGAAACAAGCTATTGTGATTCCAGCAATCACAGAGTCTTAAAGTTATAAGCTACTTTCATATTCCCAAGGGTTAGTTTACAAAATTGCTTGAAAGTTTAGGCTCACTGAACAGAAAACAGATGCACATCACCCTACCTCGTGGTAAGCAACAGATTACATTACTTTTCTTTCCCCTTACATTAACTGAAAAGAATTTTCCCTGATAACTCTCAGTAACCAATTCAGGAATTACTAAAACCATTATTTTCAAATGTAGCTTACCACCAGAATGATGTCTGTGTAAGAGATTATGATTAAAGCTTTAAATTCAAAATCAGGAAATAAGCTATTTTTAAAAATACATGACTAGGACAAAGGAAACAGCCTTGTTAAATTAATATTTAAACAAGAGTACAAATGACTAGTAACTATGCACAACAATCTTTTTCAGTATCTATTAAAATTTTTTTCCTTTGCAAAAATCATTTACAGAAGTTCAAAATTTGTTATAAATGCTAGACTATATATTTGTTCCAATCTGCTCACTTTCAGTACTAGCACAGTTTTTCTTTTTTCCCCTAAGTATTTAAATATGTGCCATTTAAAAAGGAAGATGGCATTTATCAGTCTCAAGCTAAATGTGAATCCATAAGCCGATACAATATTCCTTATATAATTTCTAGTTGTTAATATAGTAGCAATTTGCAGATGGAATGGAACTTATTTTTAGAAGGAGTAAAACCTAAAAGGTTTTGCTGGAAGAAAACATTAGATTTTAATAATACCAATTTTTCTTTCAATTTTATCAAGTGAAAATTTTCTATTGGAGATTCAAAGTAATACAAACATTTAAAAAGAAATGCTCATAGTATCCCACCAAAAATATGTAGGAAAAAAAAATCTCATTTATGCAAGCTATCCTTTCATTTGGCGCCTTACAGGTCAGAGTCAAAAATCTGAAAAACTTCATGGGAGTATTTTAACCGTGAGCCAAAAGGATAGCTCTATTCAGTTCTACTTCCTATTCCTGTTGTGTGGCATCGACTCAGAACTGACCCACAGCTGGGCCTCCAGAGGATTTTCAGATGCAGTGAATCACCCAGGAGTAGACTGTCCATCCTTCTCCTGTGGAGCAGCTGGGAGATTTATACTGCCTGTCTTTGAGATTTTGCAGTGCAGCTTCTTACCACTTCTTGCCAGAGCTCCCTTTCTAATACGTAAGAATACAGAATTCAAAAGAAATGAAATAGAACTTTTCCTCTCTGTCTGTATTATGGAGATCTGTTTCTTTCCCAGCCTCGCCCTGCAAGAGACTACATTGCAAAGGCATATGGTGGCGCAGCCACCAATGTCTATTCCAGATGGTGGCAATGAGAACAGAACTTAACTCTAATTAGCTAAAAATGAATCGGTTTCTCAGATGAGACACATGTATGTATGACCAATTTCACTGGTGTTGGCAAAGGTGGGGGGCGGGCAATGTTACCTATTTTGACTAACAGAATACACAGATCAGTGGCAAGTTACTCTGAAATATTCCAGAACAACTTTAGAAGTTCTTGTTTACGTTTTATGCATATACAAGACACAACACACATTTACAGTCTCAAAGTTAACAAAATTCGGAATTCAGCAATAAAGTGCTAACATAGAAAAGTTATAATATGTACTAGGGTATGCTAATAACTCCAGTTATTTTCAAGGTACATCCAGACTGCTTCAAATTCTATTAAAAAAACTATCTCTCCAAGCTATTCTTTTAAAAAATTTTTACCTCTTTTAAGGTGAGTTGAAAACTAACTATATAACCAGGTACTGGGTGGGATCGGGGAGGGGGCAACTTCTCAATCTCAAACTTTCAGAAAAATTTGCTTCTAAAAATCATCAACAATCCAA